TTTATTTCTAAAAGTGTACAGTATTTGTCCCATTAAAAAGTATACTCTGAAAATCTCTAGTGGGGGCAACTGCCCCTGCTGCCCCCCTGCTGCGTACGGCCCTGCCCTCACGCATGCATGCTCTACCGCACTGCCATAGTGTGGTAACATTTTAACACACACCAGATCAGTCTGTTTCTCCCCATGAATTCCTGTAGGTAGCCACCTGTACAGGAATAAAGCTGAATGCAATGCCAAACACGCCTTAAAGCCTGGTTGACATATGATGCCGAAGATCTTTAGTTCTGGAAGCGGGCTTCTGGCGCTGCTGGGTCGTTATGATGGCCGTGATCATAGGAGACAGTTTGTTGTTGCTTTCAACACAATGAGAAATTAAGAATTTTCTAATATTTTGGGTATCAATCATTAAGTGATCATATGTACACCAAGCTTTATTATTAGGGGATGATCTCCTTTACATAAATATTTCATCATATTAAGTCAGTGTCCATGATACCTGTTCTGTACACACAAACTTTTATCATTGGGAAGATGATGAAAAGTGAATGGAGAGTGATAGTATTCTTCTCTCCATAGCTATCATATTGAAGAAAGGATCAATTTGTAATGTGCAATGGGGTGCCATGGCTGTAAAATGGAAACAAGTGATTGGGCGGTTGCGGGTGCTGGTGCTGTCACTGTATTGTATATGCCGGTTTTAATTAAGGTGTTTTATACTGTAGCAATAATTCTGATTTATAACCATTCCAATTTGTGCAGTTTCCCCTAGATGCCTGTTTATTGTATTTTATCGATATCCATTTTTCTTTAGCTGCAATTAATCAACGAATTTTGTATTAATCTTCAATTGTGTGTCTATGTATATATGCAGAATGGTGATGAGGACAGCTGTCAGACAGGTAGTTTGTTTTGGCATCAACACTTCCTTAAACGCATTTTTGTATGACTGCACTTTTTTTCGTTGTTTGCACAGAAATATTTAATGATTGATCGCTAAAATTAGCTTTGGAGTAAATTTATAATATTGGAGAATCTCATGATTGCCCAGTCGATTACGTCTTAATCGATTATGAAATTAAAATGTATTAAACATGTTTTCAAACGTGGTAATCTTTTCATACGATGTTTTGGTGTTTTATGCACTCTTTCTCATATGCTTTGAATGAAGGTCGGAAAAATTGGGACACAGTTGTAATCCTGTTAGATAGTTTATTAAAAAGTTTACATGTTCTAATACCTCTGTACATAACTACGCTAGGAATCCACGAATAATAGGCGTGGGTGTGTGAACTACGTACACCCGCTGTTTTGAGCACTACCTGAATTGACACTGAAAGACATAAATCTTAAAAACAGTGGTCAAATTCAGGAATTGACAGAATTGCTCATGAATCCCAAGTTTCACTGGGGTGCAACATTTTTTAGACCCGGGCAATTAATTAAGCGTACAATTTATGGGACAATGACATGCAGAACATGTGGTTAAGATGACCAATACCATAGATTACTAATCGATTCTTGAACGATTATGATGGAACGATATTTACAGGGGTGAATAATTTTCCTCATCCACATTAAATTTTGTGTAACAGACAGCACCAACTTTTTACATCACTCGGACTTTCCCACTGCTATTAAAAGTCAGAAATATAAAACAGCAAGTTTGGAATGTGGAATAAGTTGATTGTACTCCACCAAATTATATCCATGACTTGTGAATTAAACCAATATGTATATTACAAAACCTACAAATCAAAGCAATCCATACCTCCACATCTAAGACCTAGCAATCAAACCAAGCCATAAGCAGACGTGTGAATTACACTAAACTACAAATGGCAATGCTTTGACTCGCAGTAGAATACATAACTTTTTTTCAGCATCCCAAATACATGATGAGGCCAATGACAGAATGAGTACAATTTCACAGATATCAACATGTTGGTGCTTGATTCCATGAAATGGTCCCACTGTGAACTCAGCAAAATTTCCAGCGATGGCCACACTCCAAACAGAAAACAAACGTCGTCATTGGTTCATCAGCACTCCTTGTTTGTACCTGTAACACATTCTTATTGTAAGTTTTTTTTATACACATAAAATACATGTAATAAGTTATCTATTACGACATGAGGTTGTGTAACCGAGCGTAACAGTAGAACACATACCTGGTTGTAAGTACACCTGGTTTTCCTGCAGCGGCCACACTTAAAGAGATCGGTTTCTGTTCCACCCTGTACGGACATCTGGTGATCATTTATTGCTTCCTTCGTCAACTTTTTCCTTAGATCTTTCAAATCATCACTTGCCATTTCCTATTCAGAAATAGCACCGAGTGGAAATTAATAAAAGAGTTTATGTTGTTCTTGTCTACAGCGATGCTACAACTACCCATTTATAGGTCAATACACAAACCTAAGACTTACATCTATTATTTATTCTACTCTGTTTAACCACAAAGAAAGGCCCTCATGACAATTGTTAATAGGGAAAATTTAAGCAATTATGTTTCTCTAAACTTACTTAAATTAACTACTATTATCAAGTTCGATTTATTATTATCAACATGCTGCCAAGACGTAACACTCACCAATCAAAACAAACCACTCAAGCAATTACACGTCCACATATGTAACAGGCTGCAAAAACCCAACAGTATTAACTGCTTCTGGAACTGGCAGCAACTCAATACATGATACACTATACTCCGCGCAACACATTTGTACAGTGACGTGCGTAGATAACAGTGTTGTAGGTCTCGAGGCCAGTCTTGGCCTCGAGACCGTTTTCCTTGGTCTTGGCCTCGGAGTGCAATGACTCGGACTCGGACTCGGACTCGAGCCCTCCGGACTCGAGGACTCGGGTCGAGGCCACTACATACATAGTACACAACTGTATATATTGTAAAATGCAGTTTACAAGCATTTAAAACTAAAACTCCTAGGTTTTCTAGATACTCGGCCTAATCTTGTAACGTTTTCAATGGCTCGATTAAGATTCTTGTCCCTTTGGTTTGAATCTACTGTCACTTTGTCCCTTTGCGCTTTTTCTACCACTTCAAAGGTACTAGCCAGTGAAAAAAATACACGAGGGCTCGGGGCGATTTAGCCCCCGAAATGCCAAAAAGAGCCCCCGGAAATTTGCATAGAGTTCAATGCAAACCAAACTTTAGAGTGCTATTTTCATGCATGCGAGCTTAAAAAGTAGCCCCCGAAAAATAAATTTTTTCCCTGGTACTAGCACTCTCTCATTTGGTTCAACAAGCCGTGTCATTCTCGTAAAACACAAATGAATCCGTTACTTTGACAAGTTTGGTATGACTCGTGTCTCTGTGTTTTCGGCTGACTATACACTTTCGAATGTCTACGATGCACTGTTGCGATTTTTTCCCTTTTTCCCTTTTCCGATTTTTTTCCTTTTTTCCCCGATTTTTCCCCTTTATTTTAATCAAAACTGGACTCGGACTCAGACTTGGGTGGTGTGGACTCGGACTCGGGATTCGAGTGGCGCGGACTCGGACTCGGGGATGCGGACTCGGACTCGGACTCGGGGGGTGTGGACTCGACTACAACACTGATAATGACGAGTACACAAACCTCTGATGACATTACAGCTATTCGCTCCGGCTCTATCATGCCAACAAGAACCCGCTCTTTTAACATGGGGTTCTTCGGGTCTTTGAGATTTGCAACCCGGCTACGCACTCGTGTCTTGTATTTCATGTCAGTGTTGCCAAACTCCTTGAAGATGATGTCCTCAATCTGTGCTGCAAGATCTTCATGTGCATAGACCACACTCTCTGGCTGAGCTGAAACAGGGAATCCCAAGTTTCTTTAACACACGAGGAACAGGTAGAAAGTCTTAAATAGGACAGTGTGAAGTTGAGTGTTTCCCTGAACACTTGAAATCGATTAGCGCACTGAGAGCAGCCAGAGTTAGCAACTGGTGAGGCACGTGTGGGTAAAGGCCAGTACTTCTGCAGTAACTGTGTTTTAATAGTAAAAATAGCGCCGAAATCGAATGTGGCAAACTCACGATCTGATTTCAGGGCCATGGTAATCATTTCTCTGCATTTCAACCGTAGAGAATCGTTTGTCGCCTGTATGTTATCCGCCCTAAAGCTGCACTGAGCCTTCTCAGCATTGGATGCTCCATTGTTGTCTTTGCTGTCTGCTACATCTGTGTCTCGGCCATTGCTCTCCTTGGCAAGAGAGGTCAGCGAAGTTGTAGATACTGATGTCGGGAGCGAGTAGTTAGCTGGCTGCTGATTAGCTAAGACAAGAAAGTGGAATCATACAATATGTGTGCATGTAAAGAGAATGAGTAAATTACATTAAACCAGAAAATATACATACTTCCTTTAGCTCTAAACGTTACACACGCACATGCAAGCAAGCATGCACGCACACACAAATTCACACATGCAGACACAGATAAAAATAATAAATAACTTCACAAAAGAAAGTTTAACCAATTAGCACAATTGGTTATCCCATAGCAGCTCATACATGTTACTCTATGCTTGCCCATTATTTAGATGTGTTTACATTATTATTACAGGCTCTTTGTGTATCTGAGCTGTAACTGTTGTTAAACTAATATGTCTACCTGATGAACTGGTATACATACAACCAGATAGCAGCTTCTTCCAGACCTTGATGAGTGCTTTTGCCAGAGTTCCGACATCTTCATCCTTGCTCTGTTTCCTCAAAGAATTCACTGACATGCCGATTCGAGTTTTCTGCAAGCAACACAAAATTTCAATAAAACAACATCGAAGGTTATATAAGATAAATTTCACGTTCAGAGTAAAACCATGAAAAAAAAATAAAAAAGAGAAACAACTAGGTGAAACGATGAGAGAGTTTATGGAAAGGAATATGAAAGTAGCCTGAAAAGCTAGAGACTGGGAAAGGTGAAGGTAAAAAGAAAAATGTCCGACTGCCTTTCTGACTTCCAGTGTAAAACCACTCCGGCTGCCATGTCTGCTCATAGACAATAATATTCAGGGTCCTCCCTAGGCCTTTAATTTATGTTGGGTCTAACATGCCTTCAGATCGGAAGCTAGTTTGCAATGCCTATAAATCCGTTGACATGCCCTTATTGCCTAATCGACATGCTTTAATTTCCAGCGTTTTTCAGCTTTATTTTTTGACAATGCAAATACAGTCATGTTGTGTTCTGTATACATCTGTAAACAGAACAAGTTTACCTGTGTATTGGCCCATTGGGGCCATTTAAGACAAGTGTAATTGACTCTAATTAGTACACCCCCCTCACCCTTATGCACCATCCACCCATAAATGGCATACCTTCTAAACTTTTTCTAGGGGAGAACCCTATAACCTTAAACAGAAACTGCATGTTCCACCCGTACATTGCACTGTGAAAATACACATACATGGTACGTTATAGTTAGTTTATCACATTTACAAATACTTGTAACTAAGTGTTTACTTACTATGAACTCATATATGTTGAACAAATACATTCAGATAAGTACAATTGTTTGTCATGCTGCTCACACTTTAAGAGGTAGTGTTGCCATATCTACATGCAATGTGGTAACACTTTAATGCTGCTACTAAATAAAACTAAGCCTACCATTTACATCCAGTGTATGAAGATGATATAGTAATTCCCTTACTAAACGTTATATTTTAAGTATGCCTAGTTTTACCTGCAATACTTCCAAAGTGATGGGCATGTTTTGAAGTGCCTTCAGAAGGTCTAAAGCACCTTCCTATAAAAATAATAAAGAAATTAAAAATTAAATTGGAATTTATACAAGTTTTAAACATGCTCTATACAGGCGTATCTGACTGAATAGGTTATAGCATGCCAACAAGTGAAGTAACACAGTGATGACATTAACTGAAAATTCTGAAGGATATCTCAATATCTGCCCATAAATTTCCCCCATTTACCCAAAACAGAGTTTGTGTCAACTATTATGCAGGGACAGATCCTGTGGTTAGGATAACATCTGCACGTTTGTTTGGGTAGCTCACTGATCCAGACCACGAATGGTTGATTCTGGTGCCAGGTGGCATGATAGATTTAAGAGGATTGAATAGGGCAGCATCTGAAATCGGCTACATTGCCTTCACTGCTTATAGCTAATAGTTACGAACCAATCTTTGATAGGAAACAATAACAATTCATTCGATGAAAGTTTGCTCCCTTTAGGCAGATCAGGTTTAACTCACCAAACAGTTTTATGTGAATTGTTCAATGTAAGGCTGGTTTCCAGCTCAGGTTTTATGAATAATTGATTACTAAACAATTACAGATTAGACAAGGGTTAAAATTATTTCCACGGCCGCCATTTCCGCTACTCAATAATCACTGATCGAACCCTAACACTAACCCTAACCCCTTTGGTATGAGACTAATGCAGATTTGAAGTCTGTAAATTATCGAATCGATGGTGGGTAATTTGAAAGTTTGCAGAACTCTATAGGCGATGCGCCCGTTTTGTCCAAAGCCCGTAAAGAGCTTTGGTCTTTTCTGCCCTTGTCTATATCCAGTGCAGTGGACACCGACAAGTACAAGAACATTCAACATGACATAACAAGAGGGGACACCGAACAACTGTCACCACAGGCACTTGAAACGTTTCAATAAAACAAGAGCCGCAGAGCGTCTGTGCTCATCTGAGGTCTGTTGCTACGGTTATAAACGTAACATTTAAGTCGTGCGTAGTGACACCTTTGTTAGGCGCAGATATGCAGATACGCAGTTGCGTACACATCATTTTAGCAACCTTCTGCATTCTGCATACCTCCCAAATCCCATTGGTTGATACAAACCGCGTGCCTGGAACTGTTGTGACCCTAACCCTATTAAAAAAAAAAATAATTAATTGTTGTTATTAAATTGTTGTAAATAAACAATATTTGCGTTAATTGGGAAATAATAGTTAAATGGATAAAGATAGAATAATACAGAAAACAGGTAAATAATAAAAAATCTGATGGGATTCGATCCAAGGACCTTTGAGCCGTAATCCTGTGCTGTACCCATTGAGCTATCAGGGCATATTGGCTTTCCAGATTATGCATGTGCCATGAATGAGAACACTGTGACATCATTGAGGCAGTTAAGGAATACATGTTTAACCCTCCTCTTGAAGGTCAAAGGGTTATCAGACACTTACTCTTCGCACGTCAGTGGAAAGCACATTTCATGGTCCTTTCAATAAAGTTATAAAAATGGTAGGTCAGCGCTGAAACAAAAAAGTTTTTCACTCTGTCCATTAGGCCATGTCCTCAAAAAATGTCTGATATCTGACCTTTCCCCCACTGCCCTTTGACCTGTGACCTCCAATTTCGCACTGGTGATGGGTTTCCTGCCCATCACACTATACACCGAATATTAAGAGCATAGGTCGAGCCGTTAAGATTTGTGCCGCAATTCCATATTTCCTCCTATACCTGAAGTTAATGGGAAAATATTCCCCCTCTGTTCACACATCTTGACCTTTGACCCTTGACCACCAAATTTGTCATCCCGAGTCCTTTTCACGATCCACCCCCGACGTCCCGAATATCGTGACCGTACGTAGAGCGGTTAAGATTTGCGCCCAACTGTTGACGAACGGACGAACGCACGGACGGACAATCATGCTTCATGATTCTACAAGCTGCATCTGACTACGTTAGATGAGCTAAAAATATGGTAAATAAACACGAAATGTATTTACTACCAGTCTTCTCCATTCTCTTTCACACATTATTGCCGAGAACTTCCTGTAATGCTCCTCTGCAACACACAAGTACACCACACGCACGTTGCTGTCCACAAACAACAAGAATAAATATTTATTCTTATTATTCTTATCAGCTCTTTATTCTCGTTGTTTGTTTATGCACAGCAGTGTGCCACTGTGCGTGTGGTGTACTGGTGACAGTTTAGATACAATAATGTAACCCAACAAGAGTAGGGTTACATTATTGGGTTACATGTAAGTTGTAACACTACTCTTGCCTTGTTGGGTCACATTAATTTATTGTATCTGCTATCTAGTGGCAGTTGTGACATGTGTTGCAGAGGAGCATTTGAATGGCATTTACAAGAAGTTATCGGCAACAATAAGCAATAGAAAGTAGAGAAACTTTAAGACTTTGGCCGTAAATACATTTCGTGTTTATTTACCTTTTTTATTGAAACGTTTCAAGTGCAGTGTAACTGTCACTGTCGTGTCAGAGGTCAGTGTCACTATCACAGGCACTTGGAATGTCTCAATAAAAAAGTAAATAAACACGAAATGTATTTACTACCAAAGTCTTAATGTTTTTGTCTACTCTATGTTGCCTATTATTGCCGATAATTACACGCAAATGCCGGACAAATGCTCATATGCAACACACAAGCACACCCCACGCCCGCCCTGTGCACAAACAACATGAATAAGAGAGAGGGCTTTCTTACCTGCTCTCTTATTCATGTTGTTGTTTGTGCACAGGGCGGGCGTGCGGTGTACTTGTGTGTTGCAGATCAGCATTTGACCGGCATTTACGTGTAATTATCGGCAATAATAAGCGACATAGAGTAGAGAAACATTAAGAATTTGGTAGTAAATACATTTCGTGTTTATTTACCTTTTTTTTTTAGACGTTTCAAGTGCCTTTGCCTGTGCCGTGGTCACTACCGGCAGTGGTTTATAGCGAGTAAACGCAGATGAAAACTAGACCAATAAATTGTGCCCTAAAAAATTTTATATTCTGAGGTTATTTTATTATAACATCAGAATATAAAAATTTGTAGGGCACAATTTATTGGTCTAGTGAAAACGCAAGTGACAGTGGCTGTCACAACCTCATTATGCACATGTGATGTGTGTGTGTCACATAATTTACCGTATTTTTCTTTGCAACCATTTTTTCAAGCTTCTTTCCAACACGTAACACTTCTTCTTCACACCCCATTATAATTCTTATGCTGTAAAAATTGTATAACTTACTGCCATTAACCAAACTATGACCAAAACCAAACGACTGAGAGTCAGAGCCCTAATGCGCATGTGCGGTGTGACGATTTTCGATGACGATTGACGGCCACCAACGCCGGCAGTCAAGGTTGGCTTCGTGTTGTGTTATTTTATGTATTTTAATGTTGAATTAAATGGAAATATGCCAAAAAATAATTAATATAACCATAGAAATGTGAAAAATTACGCTTTTATTGACCATTGGCATTGTCAAGGTTTACAGATTTTTTTTTATCGGTTAATCAGCGCCATCTAGGGATAACCACAGGTACAACCTCACGCTAAGCTTATTCCTAGACTGGTACCCGTTCGCCATCTTCACTCCGGCTATCTATCCTTCGCTACAGCGGCTACACTACGTTAGTGTAGCCTATGGTGTAGCGTGTGGAACTCCGGGTATCAGTCTAAGCTTATTCCTTGATTTCTTGTTTATGTACGTGATTTTCCCGAGTATTTTTCAGAAACTGCATGCATCATGAGTAATGAATTTACGCCGATCGATCATAAAAACAACAGTGACCATTGTATTGTGTCGACGTTGAAGAAAAGGTATTGTACTGCATGGGAAGAAACATCGTGCTGGCCCCGTTCGTTACCGGCTGTGTTGACTGTTCTGTTGTGGCCACAGAGGCACAGACACTTGGAACGTCTCAATATGGTCTCAATAAAAAAACGCAGTGGTTACGCGTCCGGAACCGGTCGCCTAGCCTCCAGGCTACGTATCCGGACATCCACTCACACAGTGGCGCAACGGGACGCTCTGCTGATTGCCGAAAATATACAATATATGCACTGCTGCCGTCTATCCTTTCATCCGTCCTCTCTCGCTCTCTCTCTCTCTCTCTCTCGTTCACACACACACGCACAGCTCTATCTCTCTCACACACACCTCTAGCTCTCTCTCACTCTCACACACACACACACGTGCGCGCGCACAGACGTGCACACACATACACACACTTCTAGCTCTCTCTCTCTCTCTCTCTCTCTCTCACGCATACACACTCGGCAATCAGCAGAGAGTACCGTTGCGCAATCATGCGTGTACGTGTCGCAAGATCATTGTGTGAGATGGATGTCCGGACGTGTAGCCTAGCGGCTCCTCGTCCGGAACCGGTCGCGTAGCCACGGCCTAAAAAAAAAATAGGCTGTGGCTACGCGACCGGTTCCGGACGAGGAGCTGCTATAGGCTACTCGTCCGGACATCCATCTCACACAGTAACAGTGATCTTGCGACACGTACACGCATTATTGCGCAACGGGACGCTCTGCTGATTGCCGAGTGTGTGTGTGCACAGGCACTTGGAACGTCTCAATAAATAAAAATAATGGTAAAGAAACACGAAATGTATTTACTACCAAAGTCTTAATGTTTCTCTACTCTATTTCGCCTATAATCACCTGTAAATGCTGGTCAAATGCTCATCTACAACACACAAGTACGCCGTACGCTAGCTGCTGCACAATGAGACATAAATATATATTTATGTGTCAGTGTGCAGCAGCTAGCGTGCAATGGCCAGCTTGTGACAGTGTGTTGCAGATGAGCATTTGGACAGCATTTACAGGAAATTGTCGGCAATAATAGATGAAAGAGAGTAGAGAAACATTAAGACTGGTAGTAACTAGATTTCGTATTTATTTAGCATTGTATTTTATTGAAACGGAGGAGGGAGGAGGTAATTACCCGTAAATACGTAATAATAGGCGAAATAGAGTAGAGAAACATTAAGACTTTGGTAGTAAATACATTTCGTGTTTACATTTTTTTTTTTATTGAGAAATTTCAAGTGCCTGTGGTTGTGGCGGCCTGTGTAAATCTAGGTCACTCACTGTTGTTCCAAGAAACAGTTAATTGTGCTACTGTTATGCTGCGTTGACACTATTAATTTTTGTCAGCAAATCGTCCGAGTCATGCAAAATAGAACACGTTCTATTTATCCAACTCGGCGACTTGACTCCGACTCTGACTCCAACTGTGCAATCGAATTTCAGCCGATTTAGTTGAAATGCACTTGACTTGGGTCAAGTCGGGGGCAAGTTGAAATGCACTTGAAATCGGTACGATTTGCTGACAAAAATCGATAGTGTATACGCTATCGATTTTTGTCAGCAAATCTTCCGAGTCGTGCAAAATAGAACACGTTCTATTTCTCCAACTGGGCGACTTGACTCCGACTCCGACTCCAACACAATCGAATTTAAGCCGATTAGTTGGAATGCACTTGGGCCAAGTCGGGAGCAAGTTGGAATACACTTGAAATCGGTACGATTTGCCGACAAAATCGATAGTGTAAACACAGCTTTAAGGACTGTTAATTGTGCTACTGTTGTGTTATGTTACCGTTGTATGTCGACGTTTGTCTAGTAGCTGGTCAGGCTCAGTGGCGGCACCAGGATTGTAAAAGTGGGGAGGGGGGCAAGCTTAATTAAGCCGAAAAAGGGAAAAATTTGGGGGGAGCAAATGTGATCGCGTAGGGGCCGGCCGTACGGCCCATGGTGGGGTCAAAGGGCAAAGCCCCGGTGAGGGTCGAGGGGGGCGGTGCCCCCTGAAGCTCTGAGCTTTTAGCATTTTTGAGGTGAAAAATCAAGCCTCTGTATGCCTTAACCAGAGAAATAGACACACTTGTAGAGCACTTCTGATCCATATCCAAACTTCTAATTTTACTGTAGTGCGGTAGTGTTGTAAATAAAGGCTATCCACGGAAATTGCTGTTTCGCGGAAAAATAAAGGGGAAAATCGTAGTGGTGGAAATGGAATAAGAATGGGGAAATTTTCCGCCAAAATCGGAAAGGGTTGTGAGTCTGCCTCTCAATAAGAATTCAAATTACATAGACTAGGGTTACAACCCAAAGATTGAAAGGCAACATTTTGGGCCTATGGAGTAAAATTAATATTCCATGCAAATGAGCAAATGCCCCCCATCCCCCCCCCTGGTGCCACCACTGGTCAGGCTACACACGATGTGGCGCAGACCAGGTCTGTAAAATTTGGGCAGACTTGATCCTGCTGCCAGTGACTAAATCTAGGTAGCCTAGGTATACCACATGGTATAGGCATTACCACATGCCTACTCCCAATATTGCTTGTACATAGCATGATGTTTAGCTGTAGTTTTTCTGAGAAATTTTATTAAAGGAACAGTAGCCTCTAGGTTCTAGGGTTATTTTCAGCTAATTTAGGTTATAATTGCGCTACATAAAAAGTTTCATGGTTCAATCACCATTAGAAATATTTAAAAAAAATGTTTTAAAACTAACGACTACAGTTTGATTACAACGACGGTGGCGCCACTCAAAGCGCACGATCTGAGAAGTTGCGCAAAACCACTTTCCAGCCAAGGGCTACAGACCGAGGGTATTTCTTATTTATTCATTTAAAAGCAAAAGGATTGTAATATCTTATAAACGACAGATAGTTTCAGTTATAATATGGATAAATTTGCCCTAAAATGAATATCGTTCGGTTAAATAGCATTTAGGTATAAATATAATTGCACTTTTGTGATTAGCCCTCGGTCATTTACCTGCAAAATAAAAATGCAAATACGCAACTTTTTCAGGGTGGCAGCACGGTCGCGGGTGTCATGGCGCCGTTCAAATTTCGTAGCGTTGATGTGTAAATAATTAATTAAGTATCTGGTGACAAATACATGTGGGTATAGACGATTTGTTATACAGTAAGTACAGTTGTATGCAGTAAAATCCTAGAGGCTACTGTCCTTTTAAGCTCATTACAGTTGGGTTAGATAATAGGGTTGTGCATATGGTTATAGTGGTAGGCCTAATAGTACATGTAATGATGTACAATTTGCATCCTAAAAAGATGTTAGCCACACGCAATTTGAGCAAATAGCTTTATAGACAGAGCAATATTTGAATTAGTCAGGCTTCTATTATAGAATTACTAATATAATCCTATTTAGAGTTTATAAAAAACCTATATGCAGTTAAAAATATAAAAGTAAAAGTATACAAATGCTTACATGGAGTTTATTGAATTTCAGGAAATGTACAGACGATGATAATAGCTACTTCAGGTATGTAATTTATTATCATTTTGAAACTGCTGATGTCCAGCTGTCGTTCTTAAGGCTGGGATTTAAAACCTTAGCTAAGGCAGTAAATTTCCTCAAAAGCTGGCTCTCAATGTTGGGTACTGTGAATTCCTCATGGCTTGGGTGACTGGAAATTTATCGGCCAGTTTCTAGTAATTGGGAAATAAAAAAAAACGATTGAGTATGTATTATGTATATTCCTGTGGCAGGGACCACCCCAGCGTCAGCAAAGAGGTTGGCTTGGTGTAGTGGTCAAAGATTAGCTAGTGAATGAGACCTTAACCTCCTAAATATGAAGCTACATGATTGATAGTATGACAAACTTCTAAAAAAGTTATCCAGATCTAGAAAAATAGGTTAGATTATATAGTTAATTTAAAAAATTATATTAACTTGCATAAAAACTTATTATGTTTATAAAATAAACAATTTCCTAAAATAATATCTGTGTATTCGCAGGTCATATGCAGACATCGAAATACATGAGGACATGATTGCAGATAGTGTCCGTACAAGTGCTTACAGAACAGCCATACTGAAGAACTACCGGCAACTCTACAAAAAAACGGTCATCGATGTTGGTGCAGGCACAGGTATAATACTGTCATGTTTACTGTGCCTTGTGGGTTTGATGTTAAAGGTGGGTACAGTAAGTGTCACAGCCAGCCTGTGGTGAGGAGGTGTTGGGGAAACTAATTAGTTTTTGAGGCAAGGTTGAAAATTTGGTGCATTTTATAAATTGATGTTTATGTTTTGAAATACTTATCTTTTATGTAAAAAAAGACAGCTCGTAATAGTTTTTTAAGAAAAAAACTACCCCTAACTCTTTTGATTCTCAAAATCTTCATCCATATAGAATAACGTGCATATTATGGCAGATGGGACTAATACACGAGACAAATTTACACTAACGGATGCCTAGCCACACTAGCATGATGCACAGAGATTTAATGGCATAATATAAAAAAAATTTCAATTGTTTTCTCTGATGTTTTAACAGGTATTCTGAGCATTTTCTGTGTACAAGCGGGAGCAAAGCATGTGTATGCTGTTGAAGCAAGTGATATGGCGAGACAGATAGAAAAGTTAGCTGCAGCCAATAATATGCAGCACAGGTATGAGTTCCCACACACACACACACACGCACAGGCACACGCACCCACACACCCACACGCACATGCACACGCATACGCACACGCACACACACACACACACACACACACACACATATATACAGTTAAAGAAGATGCTAACTAGACAATAGCGGATACACTACTATTGACATAGCAGTCCAGCTACTGTCGCTGGACTAGTAGTCGTACATGCTGCTGGATGTGTTTTCATATGACAGTGCTTTATAGCAGCTCATATACAAGCTTATAATAACGATTGCTTAATGACAGAATGATAAGCTTGCTAAGTGCAAAGCCCAATTACTGTAATGATGTATATACCACTAATTCCTATTGTGCCTTGCCACTATTTTTAATGTGGTCAGATTTATACAATCCCTGCTACAAAAAAAAACATGTAGGTGAGATGTTTTTCTGTAGAACAAGTTGAGTAAACCTTCTCAATTTTTAAGTGTTGATATACAAAAATATACAAATATTGCCCTGCAGAATCACTGTACTGCATGGCAAGCTGGAGGACATGAATCTACCAGAAAGTGTTGACTGTATCGTTTCTGAATGGATGGGCCACAGTTTGCTGTATGAATCTATGCTGGAGTCTGTCCTGTACGCCCGTGACCACTGGCTTAAGCCAGGTGGAATCATCTTGCCTGACCATGCACAGCTCTTCATGGCACCAATAGCTGATGCAGATCACTTGCCACCTAGGTTAGTTGAGGTGTTGTCATCCAGTGGGTGGCACGTTGTGCTTATCCATCACCAGTGGTTCTTTGTACCATAGTGTATGTAAATTGGTTGCCATAATGAGGTTAATAGGTTAGTACCACATAGACTCGGGGACCTCATTTGTTTTGTACTCCAACGCGAATTAATCAGGCCAATTAATCGGAGCCAAATGATTCTCTAATGCTGTATGAATGATTCAGCTCTTGTCACCTTTCTTTTGTTATCAGGTTGAGCTTCTGGGACACGGTTCCACAGGATATGTACAAAATCAACATGGCCAGCATGAGGACATACGCAGAGCAGTGCTTAATGTCAAGGCCACATGTAATGGAAGTACCAGGATACTGGCTGCAAAGCCATCCACAGGTGGGTTGGCAACTAGGAACAATGGCAAAATTTTAATACAATTGATTTACTATTTCTGCCACATTTT